CCAACGTTTAACAACGAGAATTTCACCTTGGGGCGTATCACTCAAGGGGTAGTGGACTTTTGGCGGAGATAGAAGATCCAAGCGATGAAAGAAGTTACCACTAGGGAGAGGGTACCGAAGAACTTCGTCGGAGGAAAAGTTGCCGGTTGGGATGGAAGTCGTAGACGACCGTCGAGGCTCCAAGCGTGCTTTGAAAATTTTCGGTCGTAGATGCTTGCGAGGATTGGCACGACTCTCTCCAAGTATTCTTCCACGGTGGTTTCGTCTACAAATCCTACGTCGAAGCACGGAGATCGGAAGATATTGATGTTTCCGTCGACGTCGAATACTAATCCCCACTCAAACTCGGGATCCGCCATTCAACATTGAAGTGGAGCGGGGCGATCGTCTTCTTCTTCTCTAGGCTTCCAATCTTCCACGGGAGGGAGTAAGGAGAAAGAAGATGGGAGAGGAGAGGGCCGGCGGCTTCCAAAGGGGAGAAATTAGGTTTGGCAAGGGAGCAATAGAGGTTTAATCCAAAACCTGAAATTAATTTCAGATTTTAAGTGGATTAGGAGGGAAATCTAAATTGAAATGAGGTTTAAAATTCAAAAGAGGCTAAGGGATTAATGGGCAATCAATTAGAGCCCATTAAAGGGGTGGCCGGCGGTTTCAAGAGAGAGGGAGGAGGGATTAATGCTAATCCTGAAATTAATTTCAGGATTTGGGGAGTTTTGGGGGGGAAATTAATTTGAATTTGAAGATCAAATTAATTAGAGAGAGGGGGGGGAGTTAATGTGGCATTAATGGGGGAAGCCTAGGTGGCCGGCGGGTTCAAGAGGGAGAGGGAGGAGGTGGGAGCGAGTTATGATCCTTCCAAATTAGCTTGTTTGCTTTAGGAGGATTGATCATGAAGTCCACTTCAATTTGAATTTCAAATTGACGAGAATTCGAAAACTTTCCTAATTAAGAGAATTCCAAAATAGGAAAGTTTTGAAATTCAGATTTTGAATTTCAGAATTTGACCAAGTGGGAATGGGGACGGGAGGCTGGTGATGGGCTTGGCTTGGATGGGTGGTGGAGTTGGGGCGGCCGGCGGCTGAGAGGAAGCTAAGGCCGGCGGGTTGGGGGAAAGGAAGGGGGATCGGATGTCGGGGATAGACCACGAGCCACGGACTCTTCCAATGACTGGTGGGTATTGCTTTTCGCCCTCACCTTAGGCTCTCGTTCTCCTCTCTAACTCTCCACAAGAAGAAGAAGACAAGATAATCAAAACAAATTTTCATTTATAATCTTCATTAGCCCTTCTCCAAGAAGAGGAGGGATTTAAATAGACAAATACAAGAAGGGAAAAATAAAAGACAACAATGCCCTCGGGGCTTACAAAAACTAATTCCTTAAGGGCATAAATGGAAAAAGATAGTAAATAAATAAATACATCACATATAATAAATAAAAAGGCGTCATCATAGCCATCGATCATCGGCCACGTTCCTGATGGAACATTAAGGGTCTGATGTCCGCATCATAGGTTAAAACTATCTGTGTTCTCTTATTAAAAACTGTTTTACCATATGCTTTTAAGATGCCCATTCTAGGATGTTGGATTGCTTATGGTATTATGCTTTCTGACAGGAATTATGGATCTGAAAGAAGGGATTTTCTTAATCGTTCTGCTAATCGGCTCGAAATCTGCTTATGCAAGTACAGATCTAACGGGTTAGATAATTCCTTTATTGTCGTTTTCTACTTTCTGAATGAAAATTTGGCCTGGTAAATTTAAAAGTCAGCAAGATTTGTTTATTTTCTGTCGAGACAAAAATCACTCTTTGTATTCGGACAAAAGATCAACGGAAGTAAGGCATAAGATCAACAATAGAGGGATAGTCTTCAATGCCTGGTTGAACCAAAGATTGATGTTGCAGAATCCTCAGTTTAGCTAGGCCAAAGATAGTCAACACTTCCACATTTCTCCTGCATTCTTTTAAGCTATTTTGAAAAGTTATTATTATAAATTTTTTTCATTCTATTTCCTGTTTTGCTTGCTTATCCTGCTAGCGTTTTAAAGGATGACAAAAACATCCAATTCTCCTTTGGTGAGCTGCCAGAGAGATTGGATGCATCAACAGGCTTAGGTTCGCTTACTAACCACATTGATAATTATTCAACAATTATTTGAGAATCACTATTAAACTTTTGATCATGCGTAGTTGTTGGTGAAAAAGCAACTGCTCTCTTTATATGGGCATAAGATCAACAAATGGAGAAGGAACCTCTTGTTGGACCAAAGATCAATGATAGAGAGGTGGCAATTAAAGTCTAACATATCAAAGATTGATGATGTGGGGCCTTTTATTTCATCCCAAAGATTGCCGATGTTGGGAATAAATCCACGCAACAAAAAACAAACAAGAAAAATAAAAAACATTGGAAATGAGCACCAGGATTTAACATGACAAAACTCAAAATCGGTAAAAAAATCACGAAGTCACACCACACTAAGAAATTTTCTATAAAAATAGGAGAAATCATGCAGATCTATCTTCTTGCACTATTTCCCTTCTCACACCGTTCTACATTGAATAGACAAAGTGATGCACTTCTATTACACTAAAGGATGCAACCCTTCATGTGAAATAAGAAGAATAATGATGCAACCTAGGATCTTAAATCTTTTAGGAGAACACTAAGCATGCAGTTAAGAACTTCCTTTCAATAAAATATAAGCAAACACCAATAGAAAGAAACTTAGTAGGAAACAAATGTGAGAAAATAATTAGGAAATATTGTAAGAAAGAAAATATAAAAACACATAAAATATAAAAACCCTCAGAACAATCACAATTGTTCACCTCACATACAACTCACGAAACTAGGGAAATGCTCAAAGGAAATATCTTCTACATTGAATAGACAAAGTGATGCACTTCTATTACAGTAAAGGATGCAACCCTTCATGTGAAATAAGAAGAATAATGATGCAACCTAGGATCTTAAACCTTTTAGGAGAACACTAAGCATGCAGTTAAGAACTTCCTTTCAATAAAATATAAGCAAACGCCAATAGAAAAAAACTTGGTAGGAAACAAACGTGAGAAAATAATTAGGAAATATTGTAAGAAAGAAAATATAAAAACCCTCAGAACAATCACAATTGTTCACCTCACATAAAAACTTACAAAACTAGGGAAATGCTCAAAGGAAAGATCTTCTACATTGAATAGACAAAGTGATGCACTTCTATTACACTAAAGGATGCAACCCTTCATGTGAAATAAGAAGAATAATGATGCAACCTAGGATCTTAAACCTTTTAGGAGAACACTAAGCATGCAGTTAAGAACTTCCTTTTAATAAAATATAAGCAAACACCAATAGAAAGAAACTTAGTAGGAAACAAACGTGAGAAAATAATTAGGAAATATTGTAAGAAAGAAAATATAAAAACACATTGAATATAAATACCCTCAGAACAATCACAATTGTTCACCTCACATACAACTCACAAAACTAGGGAAATGCTCAAAGGAAAGATCTAACTAGTGATCCACAACTAAAATTTTAATCCAGCATAATTCTGTACTCCTTAGGCAAATACCAACATAATAGGGCACAACACCTCCACACAACTCAGAATGTTTAGAGAAGAAAGATACTAGTGGAAGGGAAAATCATGGAGAGAAGAAGTAGAAAGAAAACCAAGAGGAAGTAATAAGGATTTAGGAGAAGATCAGCTCGCAAGCTAAGAAGAACCCCACAAGTTTAATTTTTTTTTTCTCCAAAAACTTCTCCCCAAAGAAATTTTTTTTTTTGGGGGGGGGGAGCTTGACCCTCAAATCTCCGAGCAAGTGGCGCATTGCAACCCTATGACTCCCCATCGAGCTCCTCGTTATGCTCGATCAATGGAATTGAGATTTGAGTCAACAATACAACCCAATTGATCTACACAATCAGATTCCACACAAAACTAACAATTGATTGTTTATTTCTTAGCCACATCAAACTAAAGCTTAATAATTTATGGTCTTCAATTTAGATTCACTAATAATCGATGATGTAGGGTCTTCATTTGGTATATTAGTCTTGGAAGAAATAGATCTCTGCAATCGTGGATCCGACCACTAGAAGGAACTGCACAGCTACAAGAGTAGGCCAGTTCTTTCAGGTGTGGATTGTGGCTAAAAAGAAGTCCACCGTAGCAGTTATTTGTTAATAGATCTTATTTGAAACGCATTAGAACTTTAAACCCTATTTCAGTCCATTTTAAAATAATTTAAAATCTATCAAAAAATGATATGGAGCATCAAATCAATCACATGAATATGTATGATTAATTTAATGACATAATCAAAGTATCCAACATGGTTAATTAGGTTTATTTTGATCATAAATTAGCTTTTTTTTGCTCTGGTTTTTAATCATATTAGGTTAATTAAGCTTGATTATGCGAATTAACTTAATAACCTCTTTAACTTTGAGTGGTAAATTTGCTCCCCTTTAATTTTAGGTAAACAAATCACAAACAGCTTTGTTGGGCTCTAGTTTGTTGTTAAATTTGTTTAAAATCCAGTAGTATTTCTTCAAACATATGCTGAGAATTGAAATTAATTTAATTCTAGCTAATTTTTGAACTTTTTATATCTTAATGGCTATCCAATGCGTGTATATTTCTTGAAATAGCAAGTAAAATTTTAAAATTATATACTTTGCCTCTTATAAATCGGGCATTATTTCTGAGATGAGCAAAGCATACTTTAGATTAGTTCTGGCCCTCTCTTTTGACATGTTTTGTTGAACTTGCATTCTCAACAACCAATTCAGAATACATTTACAAAATTTTATAAGAATTCCTACAGAATTGTTGCTTAGTCATTTGATTTCGGTTCTATGTTGTTGTTTATAAAATTGATGTTAACTCATCCATGTACTTCATATACTCCTTGCCACAGTTTTCATCAGTTTCTCTAGCATATATAATTAATAAATGCTGAAACTTTACTTGACAGGCTGTGGCTTTAGTTACTGGGCCGCATTTCATGACTATGTCGTTCCATCCAATTATTTTATCTCCTCTTAGATGATAATGGGAGAGGAGTTAGTTTTAGTTTTAGTTTTTTTTTTCCTAAATTCTTGATTAGTTTCTGTTGGGGCAGTCAATTCATTCAAAGTATGTTCGATTATTGAGAAGTACTTTAAAAAACCTGTGTATGCGAACCCAGATTACTCCTCTCTTATAGTGACCTCCCTTTTCCCCTTGAATTTTTTCTTATTCCTTCCTCTTGATTCCCCAATGAATTGAAGAATGTCCTTGCAAGTACTTAGGAGGATTCATTCCTTTAATAGATGTTCATGTATTGACATTGCTTTGAGGTTTTTTTTTTTGGGTAAAACCTTGTTATGTTGGAGAACATGCTTGATAGAACGTTGGTACTTGGTAGTGGCCATCCCCTCCATTGTGAGTGTGCTTTAGTTGAGATTGATATTGGTAGCTGAATGGTGATGCTGGATTTTATTATGGCTTAGGAATGCATGGGGAGACCTAAATTTTTGTGGAAATTTGCTTGTCATCGATGCTGAAAGCTTGAAAGGTGCCGAGTACCCTTTTGAGAAATGAATTGTTTGGAGAAACTAGTAGTTATTGCTGACCGTGAGAATGTGCATGGAGCCTTTCGAAAGGTTTTGTTAAATTAATTGCCCTCTAACTTAAAAGCTTGTGTAAAGAACATCCTGAGAGTGTCTTTTACTTCTGATATCATTTTACTAGTTTCCATGGTCCCTTAAATGTCTTCTCGTTTCATAAACAAATATTGCCATCGAAAGTAATAGAACCTTGGGTTTTATCAGGGAACAAAAAAAAAATACTTACGGGTACTAGTGTCTCCAAATTGGCCTATTCCAGCGGGTGGCCTTTAAAAGATCAATAAAAATGGAAAATTATTTCCATTGCTTTCTTGAGATAAATAGTTGTGGAGATTATGACTTTATTTGGGACGACTTTCTTACTGCTTCTAAAAGTGGTTTTTTATTACAAAAAATTTAATTTTTATACTAAAAAATTACTTTAAGAAGCAGGAAGAAAGCCGTCACAAACGAAGCCTATAACCGTCTATTACTTTCCATTGTCGGTCTTTTTATAATTTTCACTCATACTAACGGTAGGCGTACATGTCCATTCCAGGTGAAAATCCAATAACTGAAGGAAAGGGTGGAGAGCCTGAACAGTTGTGCACTGTGTGTGAAGTTTTTACTGCTCGAGCTACCACTTTTCTGAATGAAAACAAAACTAGATCTGAGATACTTGATACTTTGCATCATGCATGTTCCGAATTGCGTTCACTGGAGTTGAAGGTATGCGATGATTGCCATCATTAGTAAATATATATAGTCAATTTGTGATGGTTTCTTTAGCTTAAGCTCCTGGTTTAATTTTTTTCCAGTGTCTCATATTGGTGGATTACTATTCAACTCTTTTCTTTACTTCGATTGGTAAAATCCGTCCAGAGGAATTCTGTGGAAGGGTGGGCCTTTGTGAGGCATCATCTGTTTCTATGGCGAAGAATGATGAAAAATGCGCACTTTGTCATCGGGTTGTTGTTGGAATGCTACTTAAAATAAAAAATCCTGATGCACAGGTAATCACCACTATCTTACCGTCTTTTTAAAATTTGACTAGCGACTTTCCAACGCTGCTTATCATCAGGTTCAATATATGAAATTTTTTTAGTAAGGAACTTAAATGAAATTTCATTAAGAAAAAAAAATTATAAAATATGTTTAAATATGGGCATACATGCAGCACCTTTTTTGCGTTTCTAATTTTCTATTTAAAACGCAAAAATAAAAAATATTTAATGTTTTAAATTTTAATTTAAGATAATATATATTTTTTAAATATAATATTTAACAAATATTAACTATTTTTTATGTTTTAATTTAATATGATATATATGTTTTAATTATAATATTTAATAATTTTTAGATGAATATATGGGTATCTTGTAATATGTTGAATTAAGTCATACATAAAAAAAAAAGAATTAAATGTAAAAATAATGATTTAATTTTAATTTATATTATATGTTAAAATCTAATCATTATATATTTTAATAATTTTTAAGATATTATTATAGTCATCTCGAATAGATTAAAAAAATTTGAAACCCATATTAATAAAATTCATGGTTTTTTAATAATTTTAATGTCTAAATTTGAAAGAAAAAAGTTCGTTACTCAGTTTTAAATATTTATATATTAACTATTATTATGGGCTACATAATTAACAGCGATGGTTCTACAGTGATAGTCGGGCGGCAGTCTAACACCAGTTTTTAGACGTTAGTGGTACTTGGAGCTCCAAGTTTCAAAATAAGAAACCGAGTATTCAAGTTGAGCTCAAGCCTCATTTTTTTGTAGTCAAGCTACTCAAGCTCAGCTAATGAGTTCGAGTCGAGCAAAAAGCTCAAGTTTAGTTATCTTTATGTTATTTTTTAAAGACACATAACATAATGTAATGTATTTAAATAGTAATGTAAAATTAACTTCATAAATAAATATATATTTTTATCAAATATTACTTTATATGTTAAAAAAATCATAATATTATTTGAAGATAGATTATTTTTTTTTAATTAATGGTGAAAAAATCTATTTAATTGATGTTAGAAGTCATTGGTGATGGAGGGGCCCATTTTGGTACACCTAGCCACATTCTTTGATGTGATGTTTAGACATATTTGTGATCTTATAAGAAGAATCAAATGTACGTTACTATGGTGATGTGAAACTAAATGCGAAAGACAAGAATTGCAATTAAGATATTAATAGAAGTGGTAAACTTTACTTTACTACCAATAAACTCTTGTTTACTCAAATGAAAGTTTTAAGAAGATGACATGAGTGATTAAGCAATAGCAATAGGTTACACTTTGAGATTAGTAGGAATTACAAAATAACAACTAATGATTAATAGGTAATGCAAATAGTAAATATAACAAAAGCCTCAAGTTTAAAATCTAGATCGTTCACCTTGAGATCCTTCACTCAATCTCTTGAAAGTGGAGGTTAGCAGAGAAGAATTGTAAGCACATTTAAGGATGCCACTATCAACCATGTGATGCCGAGGGGACTAGTCGCCCGGGAAAGAGCCGAAGGAGGGGAAGTGGGTGGATGATCGTTGATGATCCACTCGTCGGTCGGAAGTTGCTCGTCGAGGATGTCCACGAGATGTGGAAGCATGCAGTTCAAGTAGTCTTCAACGGTGTGATCAAACCCGAACCCAACGTCAAAGAATGGCGAACGGGCGACGTCGATGTCTCCTTGGAAGTCGTACACAAATCCGTGATCATGCTCCGGATCGGCCATACATGATCACGAGAAATCCGGGCCGGGTTGGAGAGGTGTTGAGGTGGAGGGGGAAGGCCTCCGAGTGAGAAGGATCGGCCAAAGAGAGGGGAGAGGTGGTGAGGCTCGGGTGGGGGGATTTGGGGGAGGAGATGGCTCGAACTATTAGAATTGGTTGTAAGTTTTAGAAATCTGAAATTAATTTCAGATTAAGGGGATTTGGCAGGATGATTTTGAATCTAAAATTCAAATTCTAATTATTAGAATTGAATTAGATGAGAGGGAATTGTGGGAGGTAATTAGGGAGGTTTAATGAGGGTCTATTAATGAAATTGGAGAGAGAATCTATGAGAGAGAGGGGGCCGGCCATTTAGAGAGGAGAGAGGGGGCCGGCCATTTAGAGAGGAGAGAGGGGCTTGGGTTTTAAGTAAGTGGGGCCCATGGGTTATTAAATAATTCTAATCAAATCTGATTTTAATTTCAGATTTGATTAAATTTAAAGTAACTTTCCAATTTGGTTTAATATGAGAGGGAAAAGGGTTTGAATTTCAAAATAGGTTTAAATTCCCTTAATTGACTTTCCTAGAGAAGAACTAATTAGGAAAGCAATTTAATCAATAGGAGTTTGAATTCAAAAATTATGGTTGGGTCAAAGGGGAGCCGACGGCAAGGTTGGAGGCCAAGGGGGTGGGCTGGAACCGGCGGGCTGGCCACCGGTCGTGGGGCTGGGTGAGCCGCCGGTGGCTGGATCGGCCAAGAGGGGCCGACGGTGGAGCTATTGGGGCCGGTGGGGGAATTAGAAGGGTGGTGAGGCTTCGGTTAGGTAGGGAAAGAGGAAGATAAGTGTAGGGGAAAAGGAAAAAAAATCTAGAGAGCTACAAACCTCAAGTATCTCCTTCGCAAGAACTCACAAAGAGATATTGGGAATCTCAGAACTCACAAAGAGATCCTTCTCCTCTTATGAACTCACTAAGAGATCAAACAAGCAGAATAAACTTTCATTAACAATTCATCATCCCCATACATTGCATGAGGCCTCCTTTAAATAAGCCAAGATAAAATAAAACTAAAATGACACAAATGCCCTCAGGGCTACATAAGTGACTCAATGCCCACAGGAGCAAACTAAAAAAAAAAAATACAAGCATAAATAAAATACAAGTAAATCAGAAATAAAGGCTCTGGATCGTAGCTGTCGATCTGCGTCTCCGATGATGATACACGTGTCAAAATCTGATGTCCTCATCATATGGTCAACTAAATTAAGCAGAAAATATGTTTTTTATGGAATAAATAAATCTATTTTTAGGTGTAAGAATAACATTGGATTTGTCTTGAGCCATTGCAAGTTTGATGTATCAGAGACCACAATTAGGTGAGTTGATATGGTTTAAATCAAGTATATCATTATTATGCTAAATTTTGATTGATAATATGTCTATTTAAGAGCCCTTGATATTAAGTATGGAGGTGCCACAACTCCCACCCATCTTATTTTTTATTTTTTGTTGAGGTTTGCCTTATAGCAATGAGGAGCCATATTTTAAGAAAGCAAATAAAGGATCATCCAACCCTCTGTTGGAACTAACAATAACTCGCCTAAGAGCAATAGATGAGACATTACCTAATCTTAGATTAAAAATGTCAGTGCATTCCAACTATTTATTCTATTGTTGCATGCATCTTTGGCTGTTAGAACGTGATCAACTATTAATAAAGCTATTTGCGAAGGTGATGAGAACACACTGTGTATCTACAAGAGTATTTCTAACTGATTCTGATTAGAAGAGTGCAGGAAAAATTTATAGAGATTGGTCAACATGTCGTTGGACTTAATTTTCTTCAAAGAATATATTATGAGCTAAGACGGTTTGATACAATAATATGACGTACTAAAGTGAACCGCGAGGATCTAGTGGGGGAATTGTGACTTTCTGCTATCAAGGCATTAAAAAGAGTACACGTGTTAGATATCTCGGGTCTATGTTCAAAGTGATGATGAAGTATAAATGCAAACAAGCATAAGCGAAGAATGTTTGCCATTAAATGAGAAATATAAAAATAAGTTAAGCGTTGTCGAGATGAGGATGCTTAGGTGGATGAGTGGCTTCACTCTTATAGATAGAATGCAAAACAAGTATATGTGTGAAAAGGTTGGAGTAGTTATAGTGGCAAATAAGATTATAGAGGGTCGTCTTAGATGATTTGATCACAGAAAATGTCAGCCTTTTGACGACCCAATTAGGATAGTTGATGTATTAGATTTAGTCTATGTTAAGAGTTAGAGGTAGACCCTAAAAGGACTTGGATAGAAAATATTAGAAAGGTCCCTTTTTTGCTTGATTTAAATGAAAATTTGACTCTTAACATGACACAATGGAGAAAAAGTATTCATGTAACCGACCCTACATAGTGGTATAAATGATTGATGTTGTTGTTGTATATAAAGTCAATGGACCATTTTGATCCTTTTCTTTTTGATTTCACTTGACTTGAACTCAACTCAAACTTGATTTAATATTCAATTCAGTTCGGTTCGACTCGAAATGAGTTGGTTCCTAGCTAGCTTAAGATCATTTTGAATTGGCTCTTAATTATCCAATGAATCGGCAAATTTTGATTGTTATAAATTCAGTTGGGCATTCAAGATTTCAATATATTTTGGTTTATTATCAAATGGGCTTAATTATATGCATACATTATGTTCAAGCCACCTCGAATTAAGTTTCTTATGAGTCATAACAAGGCTCATACTCAATTCAAAAAATATTTGATTTAATTTTCTTAAAGGCTTGACTCAAAATCTATTGATTTGATTTGATTCTGAATTGATATAAAAGCCGAGCAAGTTTTGTTTTGAATAAAATTGACACCTCTAAGTAAAAGATGAGGTTCAGATGTTCAAATCATGGCTTCAGAATAGTAGTCAATTTATAAAATTTGTGCCTTTCATTTCGTTACTCTACTCTCCATCTATCCAAACAATAGCCTCCGTGTCCATAGTATTAATCTGAACGAAAAAATGCGTTAGTCCTGAGTATAAGAAAATTGAAATTAAAGCTTTGTTTGGGACAGCTTTTTGATTGCTTTTTAAAGCAGTTTTTTAGTAAAAAATTAAAATTTGTGTACTAAAAAGCTACTTTAAGACTAAAAAGCTGCTTTAAGAAGTAGTAAAAAAACATCCTAAATGAAACCTAAAATAATAACTTTTTAAATAAGTTTGTAATGTTGCTTTTCCCAATTTTATGAGGTATGTGCTTCTCTAATCTGGAAGTTCGAGTATGAATTAATTCCAGTTTTATTTTTTCAACCTTTTGTTAAAAAAGGTTGCTAATGAGAGATTCTTGTTTGTGTATAACCAATCCAGTTGGAGATATTGCAGATGCTTTTCAAGAAATGTGACAAAATGAAGAACTATGCTCATGAGGTAACCATGTCGTTCTATCTTTTTTTTACTAAAAAAATATTGTTCATACAGTTGGGTGATTTTTTTCCCACTCTATTTCAGCTTCTAACTTGTACTTTCTCAACAATAGGGTTGTGAATGTGTTTCAAAGATTAAAAAAAAAAAATCACTACCAGGTTCAAACTTGAATAAAATTAATGAGCTAACTAATAAGCCAGCTCAACTGGAATCAAACTTCGACTGAGCTGGTCTTTGGATCAAATCTTGGTAGCTTGATATTTGATAGAAAAAAAATGTGCATGTATGCATATATTTGTGTGCATTTTATATTTTTGCTAATACTTATATGCATTTATGCATGATGCGTCTCTTATTCCTTTGTTACCATATGAATTTAACTAACATTTGATCAGATTTGGCTTAACTCGAGATTAGTTCGAAGTTACATCAACATGCTTTCATCTTTTTTTTTTTTTTTTTTTTTTTTTTTTTTTTGGGGGGGGGGGGGGGGAATGGGGTACTACCCACTGCCACTCTAAAGGGAGCGTTTGGCGGTGTAACTAATCCCTCGGCGGGACCTAACGAGGCCAGCCACTGGCATCGATCATAATGAATAAGCTTGTTTTTCTCGCACGCTGCTTGAAGTTCTAAATCTGCTTGATAATATCTCAAATTTTTTTGTGGATGCAGTGCAAGTGGCTGGTTATGCATTACGGCCCTTACATACTGACCAAAGGCGAGAAGTTCCTTGAGACTAATGATGTTTGTGCTTCCATTCACGCCTGCAGTTCCAAGCAAGCTGAATCAACCATTGGAGGAGCTGCTCTGCCAGGTTCATCCATCCATGATACTTGAAATTTTTATTTCAAAAACCCTGCGCTTATATAATTGTATTGTTAAAGGGAATGTGGATATATATATTTATTCTGAATAATATTTAATATGTAAATTGTGTAGTTATCATTTAGACGGAGTTGGTGTGTTTGAAATAGTGTTATAGAAACTTTTCCAATCCATCAGTTTAGTACGAATTGTTTGTGCTGCTTCATGTAAATTTCATGAATAATGTGCTATGCTATGTATGTTTGATGTGAATAAAATATTTCACCTTAAATGGCTGGAATTGTCTTGGGCGTAGTGGTGGAGCTCGGCACAGACAACCGTGTAAAGATCCACTAGTTTTGGAGGAGTTCGGCACTGACAAATTATGTCTTTGAAAAATGCTTATTAGGGGAAACCCTTACAAATCTTATACACCATAGTGACTCCCCATTTCCATTGATTGTCTTGTTTGTTGCTTGAGATGATTTCAGTTGGGACAATTTTCTTATCATTTTTTAATATCATTTTTTTAAAATTAGCAAAATAATAATAATCAAAGCTATCTTACACAAAACCTTTGAATGATGTATTATCTCTCAATATAATCTAATGGAAAAAAGTTGAGTGCGGCTCTAGTAGGGTTTCCTTTCCCTTAGCCGCGCCCTGGTTGTCTTCGCCTCTTTTGACTCTGTCCCTTCTGCGCCTCCCATGACCTCATCCACCTCATATTCCATCGATTTTTCCCTTCTCCCGAATCAAGTTCGAGCAATTTTCTCCTCGCCTATGTTAAATTGGAAGAATGATTTATTCATCAATTCCTCTCTAGTCTTTTACTTTTCCTTGTCCTTAATCCTCTCTTCAGATAAGATACTCCCATTCTCTGAAGAAGAAATTAAAGCTGGTTCAGAAGAATGGAACATATCTCCTGTTTGGTACACTATAAAGTGAAGGCCTTACTACGAAGCCCTATTAGGGCTATCCATAAGTCGTAGACTCTCAAAGGTATGCTCCGGTTGCTTTCTCTAAGCGATGACTTCTTGTTGAAGTTTTCTTGCACAGAGGATTTTGAAATGGCTTGGGGTTGTGGTATTTGGTTTTTTTTTAGGGAGTTTTTTTATTCTTCAAAAATGACCTCCTAACTTCATACCCAAGAGAGAGGATTTCAAATCGGTTCCTATATGGTTAAAAATTCATGATTTATCACTTTCTTACTGGAATTCCTTTGGCATATCTAAGATTGCTAGTAGAATAGGTATCCCTCTTGCTGTGGATAGTCTCACAACAAAAAAATCATGCCTTACATATGCAAGGGTCTGTCTCCAAGTTACTAAGGAAGCTAAGTACCTTAATGGAAATAAAATTTATGTTCTTGATAAGGTGAGCTTTCAATATGAATGAAAACTTATGCCTTGTGACTTATATGACTCCCTTGTCCATTTAACTTCATTGTGCCCCTCCAAAACATTCGAACCTAGTTCTACCAGACCCATGTCTCGTGGTAGGAATCGTAGCCGCAAGCCCATAGAGCATCATGTTCCACCTCCAAAACATGTCATTGTGCAAAATCAACCCCAAAATGTAGACTCAGCCAACCATAGTTTCATTTTTCTACTCATAGCTACTTCAACTAACCCCCCTACAAAAGTAACCATTCACAACAGGTCTTCTATATCCAACATTCCAAACCTTAACTCACCATTAGAGGAACTCATCTATGGTAGCTGTAATCCCTCCATCCCCAAACTTGCCATTGCCCAACAACCTCATATCAATGTGGCCTCAAAAAACAAATTTCAAATCTTACCGTCAAGTACCAATGACCTTCAGACTGCTGTTCCTCCTTCCATAACCGTAGAATACAACCAGTCTTCAATTTTAGTTCCTTAGTCAGTTAAGGCTATTAGTGGACTCTCTCTCTCTCTCTCTCTCTCTCTCATCTGATGGGGGCCTACGTACAAGGGTATTTCAGCTCTTTCTCAAGTCCGAGGCAAGGCTGCCCCTTAAGTCCATATCTTTTTTATATTGTTATGATGTCTTCTAATGGCTAATTGATTACTCTGCTAGCCCTAACCCCTTCGAAGGCTTCTGTACTATAAGGTTCAAAATTTCTCACCTCCTATAATGTGATGATTTATTAGTTTTTGGGAAAGCTTCTGCTCAAAACTCCCTTTTTCCCTCATCGTGCTTCTCTTTTTTCTCCTCCTTCTCTCATGTAATTTTCTACACTTAGTAATTTTATTTTTACATAATGGAATGGGCTTTGCCCCTAAAAAAATAAAAAACTTTGCATGATAGCGATATATGATAAAGAAGAAAAGCCTTGGGCCCTCAACTCATGAACTCTCCAGCAGCGGCTTGGGCCCAATGCCACATTCCCCCCCCCCCAAAAAAAAAAAAAAAAAAAGCATAGTTTCTACTCTTAATATAATACCTAAACCAATATGAACCAGTCATATTATTGTTGTCTTTGCATGGGGCAAGCTCTGCTTAGACAAGATTGAAAACAGTTTGTTTGGTTCGTCCGTACTATGATAATGACATTCTTGTTTTAAATTTTTTTAAGGCATATTAGAGAATTCGAATATGGGATTGAGGGGAGGAAAAATTATTCTCTGCAGACATCGGACGGTTCAGATATCAATTAAAATGCTCCACATCATCCCGGTATAAAGTGGTACCGAACAAAAAAAAATGATGTGGCGTGTTCTGATTGGTCTCCGGACGTCGTCCAGTGTCCGCTTAGAATAATTTTTTCAACTGGAGGCATTTCTATCCTCAATCAACGGGTCGCATGAGCCATGACCTTGTTTTAAATGTGAGATGCTTGCATTTAAATATAGAAAAAAAAATTAGTATTTTGATTAAAATTTCAGTTAGAAAGTATTTTAAAATTATTAAATTTAATTTTATATGAGAGCAATTAATTTTTTTTATTATATTATTTAAAAATAATTTAATAATTTTTACATTCATGTTCATGATTAAGATATTTAAGCTATTTTTTATTTAAATATTGAATATTTGTTCTTATATGATTTTAAAATAAATATAATATTGATGCTATTTAAATTACTATGTTTTAATGCAAAAGTTTTCACTATTATATACTTTATTAATAATAACTAAAATTATTAACAGTTTCGAAAGTGAAATAAAGTTCTATTTTTTTTTTTTTTTTTGGACATTTAGACCAATTAAAGTTCTATTCATATGTAGAAAAAGAAAGCGGTGACACGTGGGAAACGGCTAGTTGGTCTGGTTTGTTTTTTTTGGCACCTACACGCTGACCAGTTGTACGAAACGCGGTCCCCCACCTATTGCACCGACCACAAGGGCCGCACAATAAAAACATGGAGCTAGTCAACTATGGGGAAAAATCAATTCAGGATATTTTAATTAAATTATTGATAAGGATAAATTTTAATATTATTAAACTTTTTAAGATTAATAGGGAAATTTAATATAAGGATAAATTTTATAAATATATTGATTAATAAAAACTCTATTTAATTTATTTTTACTTAAAATTTTAATAAATAAGTAACTTTAAATATATCTAAATTTACTAATAAGTTTTAATTTAACAAATAAGAAGAAAGTGATTTAAAATATTATTTTCTTTAGAAAACTTAATTCACTTTTAGGTTTTCTAAGAAAATACTATTTTATTTTATTTTTATTAAAATTAGTGAATAGAGTACCAGGTTCAATAGAAAATAACATTAAAAATAATAAAAATAACTGACATTAACAATAAAATTCCGGAGAAGTAAAATTCAATTTTTGGTTAAAGTAGATCCGGATAATGAAGTCTTGGTTTCTATTGAAATCGGATACTGAAGTTCCGTAATTGTTTCTTTTTAAAAAAAATTGTTAACATGCTCCTTAAGCTAATTTAAGTTTAAAATAAGCTCCTTCTATAAAGCAAAATATATGCTAAACTTTCAAATAGTATTTACATGCCCAAAAGTTTATATGTACTACTTATATTATGACATCTACATATACTCAAAATGTATGTACAAAAAAAGTGAGTCAACCCTCGTGTCTATTGCCCCACTGTCTCCTTCAATCTTCCTGCAGCACCACTACTAATGAGCTAAAACTCAATGACATATACAAACATAGTAGAAGGAATAAGAAACATGTTTGCAATCAATTAAAAATAGTATAAGGATTTCTATAAAATCATAAGTTGTACAAGACATTAATGTATATTTAGCTTTTTACTTTTTCCTATTTTGCTTATTGTTCAATACTAAAAAAGCTTCATATAATGACTATAGGCTCTTGCACACTTACATCTCTCTAATCAAAATTGGATTTGAATTTTCAACTTTTAAAATTGAGGGTTGCTCTCTCCTTCAAGGATGGGCTTGATTTTGTAAATTTTAAAAGTGGGAGAAAGTATGATACATTCTGTAAGGCTTCCCTAAAGGCTTACCTCGTCAAGTCTTTCATCTTTACTTGTGCGAGTCTATCCTTCATTAATGATTTAACTCATTTACATTTACTTTTCGTAAATGTACATATATTCATACCATAAATATGTAATATCTTTCTAAAGCATCACATTTCACCTGTAATATACAACATGTTAAATATAAAATGATTGCTAATACACTTACGTTAAGTATACAAAAATGCTCCCAATTCCTATACTACAGGTTGGATATCTCACCTCGTTAAGAATTTGTTCTCCTAGACCCTATCTTCTTTTCCTTATATAAATTACCCCACCAAACTTCTCCGTATTCAACCCAGCTCCTTCCCTTTCCTTTTATTTTCTCTTCCTCCCTTTCTCTCCCTACTGAATTCAACAAACTAATTTCAATAAACCTTTATTTTAGTAAATAGTAGCAACAATAATTACCAAATTTTAATAAATATTAATACCCTTATTGGACTTCGTCTTTTATACCCCCTTTTCCTTGTTGATTTTAGCAATAACAGTTGATTTATGCTTTCTACAAATTGAATCCAACAAATATTAATTTCGATTCAGCCATCCCTCATTGAAATCCAATAACTATAGATGACAATCATGATTTCAACAAACACACATATCTTACCTTACTATTTTCCCTTTTTATTTCTTGCTAATCTTTCCCATATAAACAAGCAATAACTCACAATAGTTCCCCCCAGTTCTTCGTTATGAGTAGCTTATCCCTACTTATCCCGGAGTGAAAATGGAAAGATACTGCAATGGATGTTGTTATGATATTTCTCAAATCCAGACAGAGACATGATAATATTTTGGTTATTATTGATAAACTGATAAAATTAGCTTACT